TGAAAGCATGATAAAGGTGTGGGATTCCAATAAAACCGAATTCAGAGAAAAGAGGAAGTTTGATAGGTATTTTGGAAATGAAAACAGTAAGGGTAAGAAGAATAAGTTTTCAAAGTGCAGCCCCAACAATAAGCATGTGGATAACAAGGAGGCAAGGTGATGTGAAAAATGTAAAGTGAAGCATGCATGGCAATGCAACGAGGTGGTGACCTGCTATAAATGTGGCAAGACAGGTCACTATGCTAACAAATGTATATTTTACCAAAAGCTATGCTTCGAATTTGGAGAAGTCAGACACTTGAAAGATGACTGCCCAAAGAAGAAAGGAGTTGCCAAATCAAGTGTGCCAGAGGCAAGGGAATTCTAGATGATATTGGATGCGGAAGAAGTTGATGCCCAAGGCAGAAAAAAGAAGAAAGCCACTTCTCCAAGGTTCAAGACTCACAGTGATCATCATATATAAATAGTAATAGGATGTGCAACCTAATATAAGAGGCTTGATGTATGAATAAACGTTGTAATCAATTTTAGAAGTTACAAAATTTCTAGTTATGTTACATTATTTGATGTGTGACAATAAGAAATCATGATTCCAACATAATGTGTTGCTTAAGAATTAATTCTGGTATAGTGTACCTTGTAGGCAGGACACTACATGAGAAAGAATCTATACTAAAGGTTAGGAAATGGAATTGCAGTTGATAATACACATGAAAGAAATCCTAATGGAGTCTAGGAAATTTGTTATATATGATTGCTTGGAGACGTCTTTATGTGTTAAATTGCTTTTGGGTATGTTCGGCAAAAATAACTGGTAGCGAGTAGCTTGTAACGGGTAGCGGGTAGCATGAAGCTTGTAACATTTTGTTAAACGCTACATGAAGTAGCATTTAGATTTGGAGCGTTTTGTTTAAACTTAAACGCTAGAAGCTTGTAGTGCCAAACAATGATTTCTGTTCAAAACGAAGCGTTTTGTCAAACACTAGAAGCTAGAAGCTCTCAAACGCTCCCAATATGATTTACCAGTGGGTTGGATAGGTTGGGAGGGAACCATTCCCTCCTCCCTTAGTGGGGATTTAGTGTGGTTTTAAATATAATCAATGTTGTCTCGTAAATACTTATAGTTTTACAATTTGTATTTTTTGATCAGATGTAATACTAAGATTTAGTGAAAAAAATTATTGGAATAAAAATCGAGTAAAACAAGTTTTACCAAAACCCGTTAGACCGTTTATGCCTTTGAAACCCAAAAAATTGAGTAAAACTGGTTAGGTTTTAACGTAAACAAATATGTAAAACAAAATCAAAAGCAAGTTTTTTAAAAATTCGTTTTGGTTTTAACAAACAAATGTGCACCTCTACTCCGTATATAAATCATTTTTATTTCATTTCTCATCAATTTACATTATAAAATATGTTAAAATCTCTTTCAATCTAACATTTCATTTTCACAATAGATCTATTTTGTTGTGAAAATGATTTTTGAAGATTCTGAACACAAAAACTTTAAACAAAACATTTTTCCCGACTAAAAACCTATGATTTTTGTATTTAGCAGGTCATGCATGCGAAATTATCTATGACTTTTTTAGGTCAAAACAACAAGCTAAAGCTCTTTTTTGTTGTGAAAAATGTCACTATGAGTTGTGGTGAGTATGGTATTTCGGAAATAGGCTATATATATATGGGGGTGGGGGGGCACATAACTGGTCGAGTACACGGTTGAAATTGAGTTCGGAATATCCCATTCTAGACATGGTGGTTATTTTAAATGGTTATTTTCTTAAGTATTACATTAAAAATTGGTTAGTTTAATCAATAATGTAGTCAAGATTTGGTTTTAGAGTAAACCAAATAATTTACAAAATATGAATGATTAGCAAAATACTTGAAATGATAACAAAATGTAACAATGTTTCCATTCTAAAGTAAAATATTATTCATTTAAGTTGCACACAATATTCTTCATTTAAATTGCATACGATGCTCTTTTATTATTTTAAGATGACAAAACTGCAAATTTAGTCCCTATGGTATTCAAAAAACTTTGGATAGGATCCAAAAAGTTTTCAACTTGCATGGAAGGTCCAAAATCAAGGTTTTTCTAGGTTTTTTGTCCAAAAAAACTTAAAAAGACGGTTATGCCCTTTTTATTTCTTTTTCCCTTTTTCTATAAGTATTTTAATGATATTTTCACTTTGAAAAAAAGGAAAAAAGAATTCTCCACCCCTACCCCACCGTACTCTCTCTCTCTCTCTCTCTCCCTCTCTCTCTCTCTCTCTCTCTCTGACTCTTTCTCCCTCATTTCAATGGTTGAACTATCTGAGACCAAACATTAAACATGGTGAATTTTTTTAATGATGAAGATAAAGTTATATGTGTCCTCTTTGCTAGCATTGGTAGCAGGTACACTTTCTCTTTCAAGATTCTGTATTAAGGGTGATTTTGTGGTATTTAGCATGCAAAAATGGAGATTTTTGTCAAGATCTCTCAGATGTGAATATATATGCATAAATCTAAAAGTTTGAATAACTTAATGTGCAGGTGGTCAATAATGGCAACACAATTATCGACAGACAATGATATCAAGAACTACTGGACCACAAATTTAAGAAGACGATGATGAACAACTTAATCACCCAACTCGAACTTAGAAAACCTCTTCAACATCTTCAATGTTTTAGTTCTTCAACAAACTACAGCTACCCATCACAATCGATTTTTCAAAATAGTAATATCAATGTTAATGCTCCATTATCATCATCAATATCATCGTCTCAATTATATTTGTACAGTACAAAATACTTCTAGCTACCATGATCAAACCTTATCTATCCCATGTAGCCCTAGAATTATTGCCGCTAATCGTCAACATCTAGTTCTCCAATCATAAGATCATGGATTTCTGGGTCCGCTTTCCACGGAGACTTACCAGCAGGAGGTAAAAGACAGTTCTACCCTTGTCTTCTTTGGAGGTGATCAAGCTAGTTGCAGTTCTATTTCCGATGGGAGCTGCCATTATGAGTATCGTAGTACTGTTGGTGTGTATGATCTGCATCGTAACAACTTGAGTGATTCTTACAAGGAATTTGGTGGGCATTATGATAAGGAAAAAGGGTATTATGAGGATCCTTCATTAGACTCTAGTCTTGAGGAGATCAAGCAGATGAGAGAGAAAGAGTCAGAGAGAGAGAGAGAGAGAGAGAGAGAGTACGGTGGGTGGGGCTGGAAAATTATTTTTTTTCTTTTTTTTAAAAATCAAAATAGCATTAAAGTACTTATAGAAAAAGGGAAAAAGAAATCAAAAGGGCATAAATGTCTTTTTAAGTTTTTTTGAATCAAAAACCTAAAAAAACCTTGATTTTGGATCTTCCATGCAAGTTAAAAACTTTTTGAACCCTATCCAAAGTTTTTTGAATACCACATGGACCAAATTTGCAGTTTTGTCTTTTAAAATACTTGATTATCTATTTTTGTTGTGCTTTTCTTTTCACATTTTAGTAAATCATTATGTGTAAATACGAATCTAATCTTTTTTGCTTTGTTCATATTACTCAACAAAATTCACTAATCACAAAAAATTTCAATTACAAACACACTATTAAATTCTTATACAAAACAAAATTAGATGTAATACAATTATACAAATAATTAATTCATTGCAACAAATAGTTACCTAATTTATTAAAGATCTTCGAGAAAAGTATAAAATCAATGCAAACCTAAATAGATAAAAAAAAATCAACTTAAAACTGTGTATGAATTAAAATAAAAACAAGTAATTGAGTAATTATGATAATAAAAAAATATTATACTTATCTCGAATAATGAATTCATAGTGATATTGATATGAACTAAGAAAAACGAGGGGAACTACTTAAAAAGCGGCGGCCTCAAATGTTACGTTACGTGTAGGTGATATAAAGCCCAAATTCTTCTTGCTTAACAAGTATATAACTCAAATTACTTGCTTAATAAGTTTTGTTATGAGTAGGCGATATATGGCTAGATAACTAAGTTTAATCGTTATCTTATATATAATCATGTATCATATGAGTTGTTAATTAAAAAAAATGTTAAATATAAAAGTCTAAAAATTTGAAAACTTTGAATTTATAAAAAAATAAGAAAAATAATAAATTATTAAAATTGAAATGTTTTTGAAATTTTTAAATTTAAACAAATAATTTAAATAAATAAACAAAAAAAACTAATAAGAATTTTAAAATTAAAAGATAAGTTCATTAATGAAATTAATATCAATTTATTATTACATTTATTGCAACTATTATATTTATATTAAAATATTATATGAAATTTAATAAAATATGAAAACTCATAAAAATAACATATGGAAAAAAAAATTCAAAATAACCACAAAATAACATTTAAAATTTTGAAAAAGAGTGTGACAATGCAAACAAATAATCTTTCATTAGCTTCCTCAAAGAATAAAATGTTTACTTTCGGAATCTATATTTCCCTTTAACATAGTTTAGGATCATTAATAATATGTTTGTCAATTAAAAACAATAATAAAGAGGCGTATATGAAGCAAAATTAGCAACCATCTACAAAATCAAACACATACTTTAGTACTAATTTACATTTATTTACTTGAAACTTGCACTAAATCAACATTTTTGGCTGTAAATTGGTTCTAAAAGCCATTAATGTTCTTAGATATAAACAAGTCAAAAGTTTTAATAGGGTTCATCCATACAAACCCATGTTATATATATATATATATATATATATATATATATATATATATATATATATATATATATATATATATATATATATATATATATATATATATATATATATATATATGCACAAATATTGTTAGAATGAGATAATCAAACGAGTTCATAAACCCTAGATCATGCAAAAATGGTGGGCATGAAGCATGACACACAATGGGCTTTTGGTGTTTTCCGATTAATTAGTTGAATCATGTCTTTATCAATCTTGTAATCTCATTTGTAACTAATCAAATTACATTCAAAACTCACTCCCACCTTTTTAATCCCAACTAAAATCAATAATTTAGGCTTACAATTAGTTTAATAACTAATGTTTAACCAAATTATCCACCCAATATGAACCTATTTCCAGTCTCTCTCATCCAAATAGGTGAGCTACTAATTATTCTATTTTTTAAAAGATGATTTTTCCGTTGATCGGTTCATGATTTCAGAGTATATGTCATTTTATCATGAAAATTAGTTAATTAGAGCATGCTTTTCTCGCCTTTTCTTCGACTTACCCATTGTTACTTCTTTTAAGTTCATCATCTTTGAGCCATTTCTATCATTAGAAAATATTACCCACAATGCAGTCTCCTTTCTTTTTGGGTGACTTTTGATCTAGATCATGGTGAGGCCTCCGTGTTGTGATAAGCTAAGTATGAGGAAAGGCTCATGGAACGAAGAAGATGATGCACAAATGCTCGCGTTTGTATCCAAACAACCAACAACTAATTGGCAAGCAGGGGCTCCCAAGAAACCAGGTGATCATCATATATATCATTTTATAGTTTTAAACAATATATATATATATATATATATATATATATATATATATATATATATATATATATATATATATATATTATGTTTGATTGTATATATATTAAAGGTTTTAATTTTGTGTTCTTGTGGTGCGAGAAAAAAGGTTTAAGAAGGTGTGGAAAGACTTGTAGGTTAAGGAAAACAAATGTTGCAACGAATGATCAGATTAGGCATCAAAGCTTTACACAACAAGAAGAGGAGTTGATCATTAAGCTTCATTCCGCCATTGGTAGCAGGTTCATATATTCCTTCTATATTTCCTTATAGTGTGTGATTTCTGTAACATATATCTTTGTTCACAAATAATTCATGCATACAACTTGTGTTTGTATAGATGGCCTATAATAGCACAACAACTCCCAGGAAGAACAGATAATGATGTGAAGAACTATTGGAACACCAAACTAAAGAAGAAGCTATCAGCAATGGGGATCGATCCAGTCACTCATAGGCCTTTCTCTCAAATGCTTGCTGACTATGGCAGCATCAGTGGACTCACAATAAACCAAACCAGAATGGGTTCCCTCAATCGAGACAACAACAACAACAATAACACATTCTTCATCTCGAATCAAGAAAACCATGTATTCCAACAATCCCCAACAGAATCATTCTTCCCTAATTTTAACAACAATAACGTCAAAATGGAACCACCGGAAGCAATCAAATCTGATTCACTCGATCTTCTAACTCAACTTCAAGCCATCACACATGTCAAAGACTCTTCAACTAACCATGGAATCGGAATCTCTCTGACGCAATTTCATGTCTCGGTGGCGTCATCATCGTCGTCGTCTTCAAGTACCTGTTCGACTTTGAATGAAATGACGACCCCACAACAGACGTTTAACTGGCGCGACTTTCTGATCGAGAACGGGCAAGATGGAGACGAGAAATTGAACTTAGAAGCCATGGGAGGGGTTGAGGTGGTTAAGTGTAATACACCATTGTTGATGAATGGTGTTAAAGAAAGTATAGAAGAAGGTTGTGATGGATCGTTTGTGGAGGCGATGTTGGATGGATCGGAAAATGATATGCTGTTGGACTTTCCGGGGCTTTTGGGTGAACCATCTTATTGATTTGACTTTTAGTTTGACTTTTCAGGTTTTAGAATAATGGTTTGTTCCATCGTCAGTGTAGGAAGAAACAATGAGTTTGGATATGGTTTACTAGTAAGATGTATTTAAATTGGAAGTTTAAGGTGAACTTAGGATGAGCTCGCAACCCACAAACCCGGTTTAAAATTGGAACCAGTATAAGCTTAAAGTGGGCCGGGTATCGAATATTAATATAAGTCTAAAACAAGTATCGGGTATAGTGGGTTGGGGAAATTGGGTAAAGAGAATCGGACTATGAAAACTTGAAAAACTAAAAAATTTCAACTTTGATACCCTGATTTCGGAAGACTGTAACTCGTTTAGTATGGAACCAAATATGATGAAATTATAGCCTAAATTGAAGTCCAAACTATAAACACATCTTGGAAAATATTTCACGTTAATTAGACTTCAAACGAATGAGTTATGTAATTTTTAGAAATTTCACAGATTACACATTACCGGTTCTAGATCTACTTAACCGGGATCCACCCTACCCACTTTGATATTTTTGGGTTTTCTGGTTCTATACTTATTTTACCCGGTTCAATACTCTAACCAGTTTCTATATATCAGTCTCCCGTTTTTGGGTTTTCAATTTTGGGGCCATTTGGGTTGGTTTTGGACCCAATTAACTAGTATTTTTTTTCCTCATAAATTATATATATATATATATATATATATATATATATATATATATATATATATATATATATATATATATATATATATATTGAAATTCTCCTATGTTAGTTATAGTAAAATTCCTAAAAAGTTGACAGGTTGAGTCCCCTATTTATGTATATGTTTTTAAAAAACCTCCATTTTCTGCTTTGGGTCTTTTTTGTCATTGTCTGTATTCTTGCCGTATGCGTGTTGTTTGTGCTTTGCTTCACCGTTTTCTCACCCAATGATATTCCGATTTCTGTAAAGCACCGCCAATGATCCCACTGTCATCGCCTTATCAATACAGGTTCTCCTTCGGTTGAATTTTTCTCCCAGATTCGAAATCGCTAACTGCCTTCTTGTGCTCACTGCCGCTTCCTACATTCATATGTGTTCTGCTCCTATTATTCTTCATCTCACGAATTCTTTCCATCTGATCCATCTTTCTCCGGTGAGATTATCGACCCTCACCCGTCCGATTATCACACATATTACCCCCTTCACAATCCCAGAGGCAGACGTTGAGAAGACGGCAAAGACGATGAATACGACAACAAACATTTACCGATGACATACCAACTGCAAGAGAGGAGGTGGGGCCACTTCAGAATCGTCGTCGACGGTGAAAAACTCATGGTCTCTCTCTCTGTGTCACGTACTCTCTCTCTACATGGATTTTGTTTCTTTTTCTTTTCTTCTCGCAAACAACCATCTCTAAATTTAATTTGTTTGTAAAAAGAATTGTAGGGATCCAGAGGGAAGATCGACTACGTTTCAGAGGGAAGATCGACTACGATAGGAGCGAAAAACAACTGAATGATGGTCGACAATCCATGAGGTTCGTTTTCAATGTTTTTTTTGGATTTCAAGAGTCCTGAAACCGTAATATTCAACAAATTATCAAGAGAAACAAAAGAAATCAGATGCAAAGCCGTGAACCCGATTTTTAGAGATACAAACACAAAAGGCAACATTGTCATCTTTTTTTTGTCAAAGGAGTAGAATAAGCTATAAAATATTTGAATACCACTCCAGATGAAGTAAAGAATTTCAAAGTTTTTGTCTCCCTTATAAACTGTTAGTCCAGTAAGAAATCCAATATGAGGCAAATGGGGAAAAGATGTATGATCTGAAATTCATTCCTGCTTTTTTTAAGATATAGTTATCCACTCCTGCTCACAGACAAAAAAAATGAGGACTCAAGAAATCGAGGAGCTGCTTCATGTGGTCGGATGCTTCCTTCAAAAGGGGTAAAATAGCCGATTATCAACTATAAGTTTATATATAATGTGTATAAATTATAATAATTTTTTTCTTTGATTACAGATTTGAGGAAATGTCAACAAACAATTACGTTGAAAGCATGTAGCTTTATTATTCTTCATTTTAGTTACTTGAGGGTATATTTGTCAACAAACAATTACACTGAAAGCATGTAGCTTTATTTACTAACCTTTATAAACCATAAACTGAAGTTGATGGAAAGATTGTGGGGAAACTATTTGGCTATTAAATATGACCCTTAAAATGGGAGTTGATGGTTGGTTTTTGAGTTTTGTAAAGGTCAAAACTCCCCCTATTGAAACCGGAATTGATAATCGATATCAGCGTTCAAGGTTGGGCCTTCATATTTTCAAGTTCTTTTGGCATCTTCTTTTAGTTTTAAATTCCAACCACTATTAGGTAGTGTTTGTTTTTTGTCTGCAGATCTGCAAGACGTCTTCTGTCTGCGCCGTGCAGACCACGCGCAGACATTAGTCTTCGCAGACTGTTTGTTTTTTTGAAGACTACAGACCTAAAAATGTCTGCGCGCCCTCTTCTTGGCGCAGATGTGGACCAGAGTCTTCTAACATCTTCAGACATCTTCTAGCTTAAAAAAACATATATATCTTTATTTTTTTTAAGTTTTTTTTTTAATTTATATTTTTTCCAACTTTATTAATGATAAACAATATGAAAAAAAATTACAAAACTTAAAAAAAAACATTTGACGATACAAACATGATATTTTTAACAAATTTATAAATAAAAATTTATTATAATAATAGTCGTTGAAGTTGTTTATATAAATATGAAAAAAAAATCATAATATATTCTTATATTTTTTTGCCAAAATTTTGTAAAACTTTATTTAATAGAATATCATCAATTTCTCGAGAAAATATTTATCGTACGTTTTTAATAGATTTATTTGAAAAAATCGAAGTTTATTTCCATCTATTTATGTATCAAATTCTTTGATCACTAATTATAATGTTTAGTTATAACTTTGCAATCAAAGTTGTTGGTTTTTATCAAATATGTATATGAATTAATACCATTTTTATTTTTATTTTTTATATAATAATACATAAAAGTTGATCTAGATTCGTTATATATTTATAATAAAGTCGTAAAAATATATAAAAAATTCGCTTTGAAGTTTTAAAAAATCAGTTTATTTAGATTTCAGTTTATTTTAATAGCCCGCAGATGTTAAAAAAACAAACAGTCTTCTTTTTTCAGACTGCAGACGTTTGGTCCACCTCTTCTACTGCAGAGGTCTACAGATGTGGTCCGCAGACTGCAGACATTTTGCCTCAGAAAAAACAAACAGCACCTTATTGTTAGTTAACATATCTATCGTTATATTTTTTGCAGTCCAGATGCATCCTAATATAATACACATGCCTTTGTTTGTTGCAAATCTGAAAATGGTTAAAATGTTAAACACATGTAACTAACAAATCTTATGTTTTTTTGTTTTTTAGATTTTGCCACTTCCCACCCTTCTTCACTGATTCTAATCCATCACTACACTCTGTGTTTTGAATCCTGAGGTAAAATCTTCCATGGTTGTTATATCTTCTATTAGAGTTAGTTGTTGGTGTATGTTTCAATATGTTACCATCTTCTATCAGCACGAAATTACATAGAAAAACAACAAAAAACCATCGGTTAGTAATTCTTATTAGTTTCTTATGTTGATTAGTTTTTTTATATATGTCGATAAAAGCAATGTGGTTTTATATAATTCTGATTATTTTCTATTCCCAAAAAGCTATGAAAAAAAGAGTTTTCGGTTTCGTTTTTTCACAATATACTATTCAATATATAACTTAAATGGTGAAAAGGGTTAAAAAGTTTGACTTTGGTTAGCTGTTGGTAGCCTCCTCTACTTCAAAGAAATTGAAATTCGGTAGATAGTATCAATTAGGCTACAAAAAAGGTGCAATGTGTAAGAAGTGCAACTCTATTTCCATATCTAGATTTTTTTCACATTTCCTTACTGATTCTTGATTAAAGTGTTTGTCCCTATGTAATATCCAATAAGTGACAAAATGGTCTAAACCAATCTTTTATATAGGTGTTTTCTGATTTGGCTATGTTACTTGCTGAGCTGGGTGTCTTGCTTAGTTTTCCTGATGTGACAGCAGATGTTTTAGAGAAATGTGCAAAGTTTGGTGCAGTTGAATCAGTTTGACATGCTTTGGTCAGGTTGGGTTTAGGGATGGACATTGCTTTAATGTTCACCCTAATATGATTTTGCATAAGTTGAACTGTGAGAATAAAGCTATCAAGACTTGGTATGATTTTGCATAAGTTGCATAATAGTAGTAAGAAGATTTGTTTCACTAAAATATTTGTCTTGATATCCCTTTGTAGAGACTTCGATGGCTTCTAATCCCCGCAAAACCGGGAATCTTCACTAGTTATAATTATAATAATGAAAAATGTAACTTTCTTTTTTTATAAGATATTAGTTAATATTTACCTATCATTTAATAGTAAAATTTTATTATAAAATCGGAATTATTTTTTAAATCAAATTGTTTTGAAATAGCCACAACAATAATATTTTATATATTTATAGTAATTAAAGCTATAATTGTCTAAAATTAAGAAATATTCAGTAATAGTATTATTTTTTTTATTAAGTTTTGACTTTGATTTTCATTCTAATTGTAAATTGATTTTTTTACCTTTCTAAATTTAAATTTCGATCAACCAAACATTTGTATAGGTTAACAAAATATTGTTTTTCATCAAATGATGAAACATGCACTTCTACTACTAAAAGTGATCACAAATTTATAAGCATATAAACGAAAAAAATAATTAATATTCAAAATCATGAACTTTAACTATTCTATAAAAAAAACTAGAAAAATAACCCCGGGTTTCGCCTGGTGTCAGTATTTTTTTGTGTGTGTTTTATGTAGAATTGTAGGGTTTTTTTTTTTTTTTTTTTTTTTGTTCAACGATTAAGACATTGTACTTCAAATCGTGAATATAAATGAGACAAAAGTAAGTGAAAATATTTTCATTAGTGAAAT